ACCTGTTGAATTGGAGATATTTATAAAGTCATTGGGAGGTGAACTATCTGCTTCAATTACCTTTGGTAAAAGAAATAACCAAACAATCATTCATTTTCTGATACAGCTGTAAAACTAATCTGAAAAGTTTTCAAAATAAATCACTTTAAAAATGTAGGTTCCATTGGTATAAGGTACACACTATACATCTATCTCTATACATGAAGAATATGTATTAAGGTTGTAACAACCAACAAGAATGCACTTTTATGTAGAAATGCATGATTAAATCGAGTTTTCCTGACTAGTGATTTAAATCAAATCCACCCTGATGCTGACTGTAAATATATTGTCTCCATAGATCTATGCTCAAAAATAATTAGAAGTGATTACTCTGTAACTGTACTCCAGATACAATTGCAATCCAACACAAAAGTCACAGCAGTAAGAGACATTATAACTCTTTTTTCAGCGGGCATTCACCTGTCCATAATATTAATTATTCCAAAAAGCTGGGACAAAGGGCACTTATGGATACGTGGATGCAATATATTTGTAAAATACCTATCACTGGAATGTAAATTAATATTCTCCATCCTTCTATTGATTATTGGAGCTTCAGTTTACTAACACTGTGGTTTAAAGCTAGAGTGCCAATTTTTTTCAGGAGTTTATAATTCAGCTGTTTTAAGTCACACTGAACTGAAACTTGGAATATTATTTGTCACACTGGTTATTTTGTTATTCCAAACAGCTGTATTTAATTCTGTTAAGTATATTTTGTTATTTTTAAATAATATCTGCTCTTGTGATTTTAGTCACCATTTTTTCCATTGGCAACTGCCATATCTACCTCCCTGCTCATGGCTTCTTCCCATGATTTCACTCTGACATTTCTTCCTAGATGCCCACCCACTCAAATTAAACATGACAAAGAAAGAATCCAACTCCCGCAAAGCCCTTACCCCACTCCTTTCTCCATTACAGCAGATAATTACGCCATCCTTGCTATATTGAAAAGCAACCACCTCAATGCCATCTTCAACTCCTTTCTCTCCTTCTTTTCAAGGCTATTCCTAATTCTTCATTTCTTCTTTTATGAATTCTCCAAATTCTATCTCTACTGCCAAAACCATCATTCATGTTTTGGTAATCTCCTATTCCTTAGTTCAGAGGTTCTCAAACTGCGGTCCGTGGACCACCACTGCTCTGTGAGCTCCATTCAGGTGGTCCGTGGATAGCTCCCTCTAAGGTGCGCACCTGGGTGGCCACACACAAGAGAATGAAGGGCCAACCACATAATTAGTGGAGCCGCGCAGGCATGGCTCCACTAATTAGGTGCCTGGACCCTGGAGAAGACGCACATGTAAGGTGAGGTGGTGGCCTTGGAGGGATTAGGGGGTAGATGGGAGGAGGCAGTGGGGTAAGAAGAGGGGGTGGGGGAAATTTGGGATGTGCAGAGCTGAGGCAGTAAGAGAAAGAGGCAACTTTCCCCAACTCCAGAGCTGCGGCTGCCAGTGAGAGACGGCCCTCCTTCCCAGCCTCAGCTCTGTGGCGGGGGAGAGACCCCACTCTCTCCTTCACAGCCCTAGCTCAGGGGCTGCTGCGGCGGGGGAGAAAGGGCACATCCATCACATTAGAAAGATAAGACTACGGATATTAAAATATGAGTTGTGTGCTTTTATTTGTAGAACAAAAAAACGTTTATTATTAAGGGTTTTTTTATAGAGAGCTTTTATCCAAAGCGCTTTACAATAGTTAGCTAACGGTACAAACGACATTTGGAAAGATCATTAAGTGGTCCGCCGGGACCCTCAGAGATTTTCAAGTGGTCCGCAAAAAAAAAGTTTGAGAACCACTACCCTAGTTTACATGACTCTCATTTGACACCTCACTGTCTATTCAATAGGCCACTGCTAAAATCATCTTCCTCTTCCACTACTCTGTTGTCACTCACAATTCAGTCCTTCAATGGTTTTGCAATGCTGTCTACATCTAATTCAAACTGCTCATCTTCACCATGAAAGCTCTAAACAGCTCTTTCTATATCTCTGTGTGAAACATTTGTATGAAAACCAAAAAAAGTGTAGCATATTGCTATTACATTTTCTATATGGCAACTCAAAACAAATTTCATTTAGTAGTTTAGTACAGTAGATTATAGATAGTACAGTAAATAAATGCAGTATTGCAACATTGGGTTTTGTTCCCACAATCAGCTCTGTAGAGACAAACCCATATGCCTATCAATGGGGCTTCACCAGGCCTGGGGTGCGGGGTTGTGGGGGGTGTACAAGCTCATCAGCTGAAGAAAACATGGCAAACAGCCACAGATAAAAGTCTTTACAAGCTCTGATTGCAAAATCTAAGTAATTTTTAAAGTGAGCACAAAGAATAGCAATGGCTCCAAGTTTTTCACTTTATTAATTCAAATCCCCAGAGAAATTAAAAGCAAAAGACTACCATCAACTGTACACTGGCATCACAAAACCAAGCACTAAAGCATAACATTATTAAAAAGAAAACTAAAGGCTTTCAGCACCATTAATAAGTTGGCTAAGTTCAATATATGTAGTATTTTTTATTCCTGCCTTCCTTGTTGAAAACGAAGTTCAATGAAATTATTGTTACTGGGAAATATAATAAAAAATATAAGCCTCTCCACTAAGTGAAATAGAAACCACAACAACTTTGTTAAAGGAACACTAATGTAAATTTGTCCCAATATTTGGCAAAAACAGGCTTGTATAAAACCAACAATAATGTTTCACAAACTGTTTTTTTAAACTCCAATAGAATAGTTGTTTATAAATTAATCATACTCATGCAGTGTTTGAAACCCAAACATTGCAGCACTAAGAACTAAAAAGTGAAACTGACAAACTATAAAAGTGAAGACAATGTCACCCATCTCAAAGAGTTAAACAATGTAATTGAACAAGTACATAAAGACCATTGTGATAAAGTAAACAAGATTTTATTTTTTTTCCTACAGTATTAATTTAAAGCCCTTATTCAACAGGATACTAAAGCAAGTGCCTAACTTTAAGCACTTTTTAAGCACCATATTTAATCAGGACTTACGGCCCAAAGATTGTAAAGAGATCCATGAAGGTAAACTTCTAAGTCAATGGAGCTCACTTCTGGCACCAGGGTCGTCCCATCTAGATCTTATTCTGAGATCAGGCCTCAATTCCATTAGGTGTTCATGTACTAGCCATGATTTTTATGTTGAAAGTGTCTTTTTAGGCTTTGAAATGTCTGGATTCTGAGTTTTAGGCTTTTGGCATTTAATTATAAAAAGTTATTTATCTCAGAAATGTTTAATCATACGAGAGAAGAATCATGTTATTCATACTAAAGAAATTTTTCATTGTTGGAGCATGAAACTAATTTTCCTTGTCTTTATAGGTATCATTTTTCACAAAAAGTAAATACTCGTCACTTACAAAAGAACAATTAAAAAGTGTACAGTTGAAGTTAAGTGTTCTCTTATTTTTTCCCCTCACTAAAAATGAAATTATTTTATATTTCCAAATATATTTCCAGCATTAAAATGCAGTTCTACTCTGAAGTGCCTCTGTAGAATTGGCATATTCTTACTCCATTAATCTGCTCTGTATGCATATTTGGAGTGACAATGGGTTAAAACATGTTTTTACTACTCCTTTCTCTTGTGTGCATGGTAGAACCAAAATAGGTATTGGATAGTGAATCGGATTCAGTTCTGGCTTATGTATCAACAGAATTGTTCATTAAGTTCCAATCCAGAATCTTTATGATGGAATTGCATAAGTAAGGCTGCAAGTCTGTCACGGAGATCACAGAAGTCATGGATTCCGTGACTTTCAGCAACCTTCTTGACTTCCACAGCTGTAGCGGCCAGTGTGGCTGACCCCAGAACCAGCCACTCAGGCGGTCCCAGGAGCGGCTCTGGGACCAGCCACTTGGTCAAGCAGCATTCCCAGGGGTGGCCAAGCAGCATTCCCAGGGGCGGCCCTGGAGACAGCTGGAACAGCAGCAATCCGGGGCGGCCTGAGCAGGGGCTGGTGGGCGGCCCAGGGGGCAGCCACAGACTGTTGGAGAGCGGTCCCCGAGGGATTTGGAGGAGCGGGCAGCTGGAGACAGTCAGCCCCCGCCGCCAGAGCAGGGGCCAGCCATCGGTTCCCGGGGCCCCCCCAGAGCAGTGGCAACCTAGGAGCAGCTAAAATTTAGTCAGGCAAATTTATAGTACAAGTCATAGACAGGTCACAAGCCATGAATTTTTGTTTATTGCCCGTGACCTGTCAAGGACTTTTACTAAAAATACCCACAACTAAATCTTAGAGTTGACAAGGCTGACAGTTATAAGAACAAATCCTCTTACTAACCTAGAAACTGCTGAGAAGACAAGTGGCCTAGAACCCTACAAACCCATTTTTACAGCCTCTGTTCAGATCAGTACCACATTAAAGCCAAAATATTAGGCAGAGATGCCAGTCCATTTCCTCTGGTCCAAGGCCATCCTGAATTTATCAGACACATCCTGCAAGCCGAACTTGCACATTTTTTAAACAGGCAACAAAAAACTTTCAGGACTCACAAAATGATCACATCTTTTGGTGACACGGGGATATCACATCACAACATCCATGTGGGGTGATACACAGACTGCATGACAACAAAACACTATGGCCCACTGGGGCATCAACAGACTGAGCTGGAGCATCACCAGTTGGTGACACACTAAGGCACCACTGCTGCCACCAGGGTGACACAGCGATGGGCTGGGCGGGGGCTGCAACAGCCACGCTTTAGCAGGGGGGTGCCCCATCCTCAGCGAGGAACACCGAGGTGTGACCATGCTGGGGGGTAGCATGGGGGCAGGCGAAGCCGGCAGCAGGTGCTTGGAGACCTCCAGCTGCACAGGCCACGCGGGAGCACCTGGCAGCTCGGCCCAGGCGCGTGGGCTCGGGGTGGGAGGCACGAGGCACAACCCCAGAGATCAACAGCAACCCGCCGCCCCTGCCCTTCCCCCACACCTCCACGAAGGCATCAGTCAGGTCACTGGCCCGGTCCATTACTGGCAAATGGCGTCCGGCCACGATCTTGACCTTCAGCTTCCCCGGCATCTTCCTGCCCCAGCTGCAAGGAGAAAACAACAACAGCAGCGTGTTTGTGTCCCAAGGTACGATAAGGGTGCGACGTGCGCATGCGCGAAGCTGAGCAACGGTCCTCACTCCCCTCCACTCGGAGAGCACATGCGCAATAGCCCTTGAAGTAGGGGGGGGGCATTCGCAGACCCACGCGCATGCGCTAACGTTCTATGCAGCCCAATTGGGAGGAAAAGTCGTCTTCCCGGCGCATGCGCCGGCGGTGCTGGGTGATACTAAAAGAGAACCTGCTAATCGTACACAACGGTTATCGAAGGTTACTTCCTCGCACCGTTGTATCATGCCGAGGCACCGCTCACCTTCGCCTCCTCCGGGCGTGCTCTACGGAAAGGAATAGCAGGAGGACCGCTCCTCCTCTAAACCAAAATGGCGGCCGCCCTGCGTAGGGACTTAGTTAGCCCTGGCTAGAAGACGACGGTGTCGAGTACCGAATCGTCGATAGGCCATGAGCCAGGCTCGGGTAGAAAGGCAATGTGCCTGAACGCCGCATCATCGATTCAACATCGCAGGGCTCTCAGCCTCCCGGCCACTGGCGCGAGCCGGCGCGGGGGATGGGATGCGGCAAGGCAAAGTGAAGGGTGGGGCGGGTCCGGAGGGATGTTTCAGTATCTGCTCCCCAGGGCCCCCGCTTGTGTACTCTTCCCAGAGCACCTAGACAGGGAGCGACGGGCTCCAGCTGCTGGTGTCCCTAAGCCCGCCCCCTCCCCACGGCTCATGACACAGGTAGCAAAAGAGCCTCGCTGCTCACGCGGCCCACAAAGTGCCAGGCCGTGAGAGGTATCTCTGCTCACGGGTGCCACAGAAGTAAACGCCAGAAGATCCAGTCAGTTTTTATCCAGCTGTGATGTTCCCGTGGTGGTATCGGGACCAGTGATCTGCTAGGTCACGCCAATCCTTGAGTCTGGGAGCCAGCCTTACCCTGCTCTGCTGTGAGAACCCCCCCACTCCTGGGCTGTTCACGCACAGCCTCTGGCATGTAAGCTGCTCCCAGCTACACGGGTGGGCACTTTTGGTCAGCTGCTGCTTGGATTATGCAAGCAAATGACACTAGCCAGTATCTCCGGTCCCAGACACAATCCCAGGAACCTCTGTCTTGCAATGTCCAGTTAAGCCGGCTGGACGCTGCTAGCTTATGTGAGTTTATCAATTTCACAAAGAAATTGATATGTACCAGGCTTATTATCCCAAGGGGAGTCTCTGACACGATTCAAACCAAACTCACTGCTTCAGGTAGAATAAACACATATATTAACTACAAAAGATAGATTTTAAGTGATTATAAGTCAAAGCACAACAAGTCAGATTTGGTCAAATGAAATAAAAGCAAAACACATTCTAAGCTGATCTTAACACTTTCAGTGTCCTTACAAATGTAGATGCTTCTCACAGGCTGGCTGGTTGCCCATCAGCCAGCCTCTCCCCTTTGATCAGCGCTTCAGTCGCTTGGTGGTGGTGTCTGTAGATGGAGGTGGAAGAGAGAGCCAGTATGGCAAACGTCTCTCCCTTTTATCGTGTTCTTTCTTCCCCGTTGGCTTTGCCCCACCCCCTTCACGGTCAGCTGAGCATTACCACAGTCCCAAACTGACCAAGGGAAGGGGGCTGACTCACTGGAGAGTCCAACAGATCCTTTGTTGCTGCCTAGGCCAGTGTCCTTTATTCCTGTGAAGCTGGGCTGGGTTTGTCCCATACATGCCCTGATGAGGTGTGAACTGCCCCTCTGTTCCTGGACAGTTTTGCCTGGGCTTGTTTTAAACCATGAGGACACATTTCCAGCCTCATAACTATATACATGAAATTACAACCTGTAACATTACTATAACATTACTACTATATAACAACAATGCTCAGTGCATCATGAGCCTTCCGAAGACACCCAACATGACAAACTTTGCATTGGATACCACACAATCATAAGGATGAACATGGGGGTACAGGGTGTTCCCCTGAGGTACATAATGTCACACACTCCTCCCAGATTCTATGGTGGCATCAGTGGAGAACAATGAAGCTGCTCCTACTTCACCAAAAAAATCCAGAGTATGATGCATGCGGGTGTAGGAGCACAGCAGCAAACACGTCTTGCACCGAGGCTTGAGTTTTCTGGTTGAGTAGGGGCAGCACGTGTGCACTCTATTTAGAGGGAACATCTAGAGGCTTGGCTTGAGGCAAAAAAAATGCTGAGATCCAGCAGGGTCTAGGAACAGCATATGTGTCTGAGGTGCTTTTAAGCAGGGAGGCATCTGGTTCTGTAGTTTGCCGTGGAATTAGAGCAACCTCATGTCTCTCTTTAGCTGGTAGATTCTTTAGGTTTGGGGTTAACAAAAAAAGTATGAGTCAGCTGCCAAAAACATGTTTGCAATGGGGTTTGGACTTTGTGTACTAAGAACTGCTGTATCTTATTCCAGACATAAGTTAAAGGAATGTAGTTAAAATTGGCAAGCTCCATTAGAGTCCAGGTACCAGATGTCAAACGTGAATATTTTTCTAAAACATATTCTCTAGGAATTGCTTTTTTACACTGGAGGTAAACTAGATGATCACAATGGTCCCTTATCACCTTGAAATCTATAAATGTATATGGTTTTCCTGTTCTTGGACCAGGATACATCAGAGTCCATATTTCAATGAAGTAGGAGCAGCGATACTTGTTTTCTATTTAGATTGTACAGTTTGGGGCAAAAAATATTGCAAAGTTCCAAATGCTGGACTGTGTGTTTTGTGATGTTCCTAGAATCACAGGACTGGAAGGGACCTCAAGAGGTCTTCTAGTCCAGCCATTGGACTAAGTATTATCTAGACCATCCCTGTCAGGTGTTTGTCTAACCTGTTCTTAAAAATCTCCAATGACAGAGCTCTCCTGGATTCATAGGGGTTCAAGGTTTAGGTGAGGGGTTATTTCTGTACAATAAGAGCAGCTATACTTGATCTCTATTTTGATGGAATTTATAAAGAGAAACTAAATATGGTGTTATAGGCAGAGTGGCTGTGACCAGAGGGGACATCCTGCAACTGTCTGGGATGAGGCAGGATGAATTGAGTCTGGTCTATAATGATATAGAATGGGCTGGACTTAGTCCAGTACCCCATCCCATTCCACCGAGGCTGAGTCTGGGTCTTAAAGGAACAGTGGTAGGAAAGAGCCACGGATATAGGCATGGAAGCATGGCTGTACACTGAAGCACTTGCATCTTAATCTGCCCACTAATAGCACTAGAGTTGACAGCAGAGAAAGTATGACCACAGCACATTCTCTGTTGCCCTTGGGCAGTTTACAGATACAGGCTTTTTTGACCATTAATAATTATGATCCAGTATAGAACCAGAACTCCACCCTCATCTTCCTTGCCCAATAGCCACCTTCAATACAGTCAACCATGTTGTGCTTTTTGAAATTCTGTTTTCCCTTGTGTTCTCTGAGAACACTACCCTTGCTACCATGGATGTCATCTCCCTATATACAAATGTCCCTCACAATGATAGCATTGCTGCCTGCCTCAAATTGCTACTAGACAATGGACAACACTCAGATATCCACCTCAAACACACCACTAAACTCGTGCCTTTCATCCTCACCTATAACAACTTTACATTTAACAATAAACACTGTATGCAAACCATGCGAACAGCCATGGTACTGGGATGGCCCACCAATATGCCAACCTCTTCATGAGCCACCTTGAGGAAGAATTTCTGGAAAAGTTCACCACAAAACCAATGATATCTGATGAAAGTATGATTGATGTATTTCCTCTGGACAGATGGCCAAAACTCCCTTAGATTTCCACCACAACTTCAACCACCACCGCCCATTCATCAGACTCTGAAGAACACTCCCCCACCAGCATCAACTTCCTGGACAAAACAATCAGCTTTGGCATCTTTATGGACAACTATATTACAAGAAGCCCATGGATCACCACACGTACCTCCACAAACGCAGTAACCATCCCAGACACACCAAGAAATTTGTTATCTACAGCCCAGGCATTCAGATACCACAGTACGTGCTCCGAGGAGAAAGTCCATGATATGCACCTTTACACACTTAAAACCGCCTTTACTAAACACAGATGCTCTACCAGAGAAATAGATTGCACCATGGAATGGGCCACCCAAATTCCCTGAGAGAACCTGCTTTAGTGTAGGGAGAGAGAATTCTCCAACCTAATACCCCTAGTTGCTGCCTACCATCCCACACTAATACCCATATAGGGTATCATTAAACAATTACAACCTATACTCAATGGGGACCACATTCTGAAAGAAATCTTTCCCAAACCCCCTCTTCCAGCCTTTAAACAACCTTGCCAAGCCTATCATCAAGCCCTCTACAGATCAGGACAACTTATAGTGGCACCAGACCCTGCCAAAGCAGCAGATGCAAAACCTCAAGACATATGTCCACTGCTATGATGATCAGTATTCTCCACAACACATCTTTCAAGATCCATGGGTCCTAGAAGTTGCCATCACAACATGTGGTGTACCTCATCCAGTGCACTAAATGCCCTAATCACTACTATATGGGCAAAACAAGATAATCAGTATACTGTCAAATGACTTCACATAGAAAAATGATAAAGACAAACACCATATCACCTGCGCGTGGACATTTTTGCACAAAACAATCACTCCATATTGGACCTCTCAGTCCTCATCCTCAAAGGAAACCTGCACAACACCTTCATAAGATGAGCCCGATAACTTTGCTAGACATTAAAAATCACAGACTTTGAAGACACTGGTTTTATGACTCGTTACAACAATCTAACCCCCTAACTTTCCTTTGTCCTATGATGGCAGAGGTATTAACTGCCCATTTCACCTTGAATGACTCTTACAGTTAACTCCTTACGCTAAACAATCTGTTCCACATTGAAAAAAGAAACGGAGGACTTGATGCACCCGATGAAGTGAGCTGTAACTCACGAAAGCTTATGCTCAAATAAATTTGTTTGTCTCTAAGGTGCCACAAGTCCTCCTTTTTTTTTTTGAGGATACAGACTAACACAGCTGCTACTCTGAAACCTGTTCCACCTTGTGAGACTGAGTACCTTTTCCAGACATGAAGAAGAGCTCTGTGTAAGCTCAAAAGCTTGTCTCTTTCACCAACAGAAGTTGGTCCAATACAAGATATTACCTCACCCACCTTGTCGTTCTAAAATTTATTGAGGTTTTTAATCTCATGATTTTTGAACGTTTAGGATTGGCAGTACTGTATGTCTATGGATTTTT